GTATAAAGCCAAGGCTCTAAACAATCAAAGAAAAGCGCACCTTCAAATGGTACCGAGAAATGTGGTTTCAATATAGGAAATCTTTGTGATAGCCTTAAAATATATTTTCATCTTTAATTGTAAAATTTAGAGCTTCAAAAATAGTGTAGATAGAGCAGATCTACGAAAACTTGAAAATCTTGAAAATTGACGATCCAAAAATGCGGTACAAGATGCACTATTTCCAAAACTTGAAATCCATTTTTTTCTCATGTCCATGCATCTTGATGTCGAGATGATCAGTTTGACGATATTTGGGCATCAAAACAACATCTTCTATTGAAATTGAGGTGGGCTCTAATTTGATTGTTTAGAGCCTAGGCTCTATATAAAATTTTTCCATATATATAGTCTAAGAAGGATGATGACCTTAAACTTTCCCTTAACCCGTCCCATGCCTAGGTAAAGGGGCTGGGTTGTGTTAGATAGTCAGCCAACATAAAATTTTACCAAAACTTATTATGAATTCTGAACCTACAGTATCTGCTGATGCTAGGGTGTTTTCCAGAAGCGATGCGCTGTACCAGAACCCGAGAATAGTGAGAAATGAGCAAGGGGTAGCTAGGGCTATCCCCAGAAGTGACGCGTTGTATCGAACCCTGAGTACCGTGAGAAATGAGCAAGGGTTAGCTAGGGCGTTCCCCAGAAGCGACGCGCCGCAGCACCACCCAATTGCGGTGAAAAATAGGTAAGGATTCCCGCTCCATGTTGGACGAACGCGAGTAAAGAAACTAGTCTAAGAGAATAGGATTCATCTAGCCACATGGAATGTAGGAACGCTTAGAGGTAAGAGTATGGAGTTAGTGGATACAATGAGACAAAGGAGAGCAAACATAGTCACTCTACAATAAACTAAATGGAAAGGAGAAAAAGTTAAAGAAATAGATGGGTATAAACTTTGGCATACAAGAAAGGATAATAATAAGATGAGAGAGAGTAGACTTAAGTGGGCTGGCCATGTATGGCGCCGACCCAATACAACATCTGTTAGGAGGTGCAAGTTAGTTCAAGTGGAAGGATTGAAAAGGGCAAGGGATAGGCCCAAAAAGACGTGGTTGGAAGGAGTCCAAAAAGATATGGGGACTTTTGGCCTCACTGAGCGTATAACCTCTAATAGAGCAGAATGGCGGACCAAGATTTATATAGCCGATCCCAATTAATTGGGGAAAGGCTATGATGATGATGATGATGTGCACACACACACACACACATATATATATATATGTGTGTGTGTGTGTGTGTGTGTGTGTGTGCATGAAGGACACATATATATACACATGCATGTGCATGTATAATTGATAGATTACTAAAAAATTGAAAAAGAAAATTTTAACGTTTAAAAGTAACCAAGTAAATTTTGAATCAGATTTCACAAATGTAAATTAGTAAAGGAAAAAGTTTATACAAGGGGTTAACCTTAAACTATACAAGTAAGGTACACCTAAAAAACTTACTAGAGAAAGTTGTTCCTATGCTAGAAAACCCTCAAATGGATCATCTCGACCTCGAGATTCATCGACATGAAAAAAAAAAGATTTCTAATCCTAAAAATAGTTCATCTTATAATACATTATTTGGACCATCTACTTTTTAACACGTTATTTGGACCATCTATATTCAAGATTTTCAAGTGTTTTTAGATCTGATTGATCATTACCATTTCTATAACTTCAAATTTCATAATTGGGGGTTACAATAGATTTCCATATTATTGCAAGGCTTTGCCACCGAAACCGCATCTTCAACATAGTTTTGAGGTGCACCTTACTCCAATAGTATAAGGTTGACACCTTATACAAACCTCACCCATTAGTAAATGTAAGACGTAAAAACCACAAAGAGTCAAAGAGAATAGCGTTTCCAGAATCCAAACCTCAATTCCATGTGGCTGCAAAATGATCATTTATATATGCAGTTAAGCACAAGTCCGGATTTCACAATATAGAGAAAATGATACGAAAGAAACAATGAGCAAAATAAAGTGCATCATGTTTAGTCTTCATCTTCATCACCGGCTTCGACCTCAACACCTCCATCCGATTCTAAGCCATCATCATCAAAGTCACGACCCTCCTCAACATAATAGCCATCCTTCTCAGTCCCTTCCAAATTGGGCTCCTCCTCCTTTATCTCCCTCCTTAGTCTCTCACAAATCAGCCTCGTCCTGCTTCTTTATCTCTCTCCTCCTCAGTGTACTGTGTGTAGGAGTAAATCTAGTGGTCTTAGGGTCAGAAGCAGGCCCCAAATCCTCCTCAACCATACCCCATATCAAACCCTCACTAGGTAAGATTTCTTCTACTTCTAGGATCAACCACCCATTCATTGACATCATCTATGTCTTTCACAACAATGCGACCCTTCTTGTCATGCTCACTAAAGTGCTCCTTTAGCCTCTGATTATATCGAACAAAATCTAAATCATTAAGTTTACTTTGCTCAACCCTATTCCTGTTCTTTTTCACTAGCGGCAAAATGCATGAGCCACAATTGGACATTTAGAGTAATAGAGTTATCGAAAGTAAACTTAATATTAAAGCATGAATCGATAAGCTATAATCTATAAGTTATAATTTATAACTTATCCTATAAAATGAAAAATAAAAAGATTATTAGTAATATCAAATAATTTACAACTTATCCTATAAAATGAAAATAAAAAGATTATTAGTAATATCAAATATTGTTATCTTTGTGAGTTACTGTCCCAAATGAACTCCAATTTTGCTAATAATCAAAGCTACATGTTGACTTCAATATGCGGATGGCCATCTTTCATAAGTTCGGGGCATCATTCCACATTGGCTTTACCATTGGACTACAATTGCATTGTTTTTTTGTAAGTTGTAACTAATAAAAGCTACACAACATATCAAATTATGAAAAAATTAGATTGGGTTTAACCCTTTGTCACACAACCATTTCCTTCATAAATGATCTTAAGACACTTGTATAAGATCAACTCTTTAACAAAATCATATCCTAGATATCCTTATCCAGTGTGAGCTTCTTGAGACATTCATTGAAGTCATCTGCAATTACATCCTTCCTCTCAATATCTAAGTCTGAATAAAATAAATTTGGGTTCAAATGGTACCCAACTGCGTGCAAGGGCCGATGAAGCCGCTTATCCTACTTTATGTCTACAGTATCCCTAACTGGGCCATACAAGCTCTCATCATTCCCTAATGCCACAGTTATATCTCTCTTGGCTCCCTCAAATGCACCATGTATAAAGCACAGGCTTCACTCATTGTTAACCAAAAAAAAAACTTTAACCAAGGGTAAGCATACCTTAAATGACTACACTATCCCACTCTAAAAAGGCATAATCAAAACAATATCAGGTGTCATCTTCCCTCAAGACTGCTTGGACAACTTGCATCTAGACCAATCCAATGAAGTGAACATAGAATGCAAATGGCATCTCTTGTTTATTATGCACTATATAGTTAACAAAGAGGTGGCAAGTCTCGGGACCTCAGGCCTCCGCCTCATGTATCCCACTTCTCAATAACTTTCACATCATGCTAAGGATAAGGGTGTGATTGCAAATGTACACAGACAGGCTAGCTTTATCAGGTGTCTCTTTTACCCTTGACATTTTGTTAATTGCCTCAAGCATGAGGTTGATGTAGTGAACCACGTGATATCCAAAAAATATGAGGTCACTTTTGGTACAATAAATTAGAAGCAGACATATTGGTTACAACCATGTTTGCTACCACCTGTATAATATGCTCCTCTCCAGTGTTTCAAAAAGCGGACCGCCCAGCGCTTAGGCGGTCCAAAAGGCCTAGGCGGCCAAACTAGGCGGCCACCCTGCCCAGGGACGGAAATGCCGCTCGTTGAGGCCATTTTTGGGTAATTTTATTTAATACTAAAGGTGCAAAATTGTGGGTTTTAGGTTTCAAATGAACCTAAAACCCATTAGAAGCTATTTTAGAGAGTGAAAAACCCAAAAAAAAAAAAATATACTGGGCCGTCCAGGTTCTGGGCACCCGCCTATGCGCTAAGTTGCCTGGACCCCTCCGACCGCCTAAGTGCCGCCTAGCGCTTTTTGAAACATTGCTCCTCTCCAACCTCCTCAATGCCCTTTGAACCAAAGAAAAGACAATACAATTGGGAACATCAGAAGAAGCATCAATAAACCTTAGAAATATTGCTCCTAAAAGGACAAGCCACCATCAAATTCATTACACTATTGCTCCCCTTATCCCTCCATGGATTTGTCATAATTCATCATCATCACTATCCTCAGAGCTTTTTCCCAACTATTTGGGGTCGACTACATAAATCTTAGATTTGTCATAATTGAAACCCCATATTGCATGCACACATCCTATGTGACTAGAGCTATTCCTTTTTGTGTTGTACCTCGTATGTTTAGGAAAGGCTTTTTGAGCACATAAGGGGTAGGCCCTTCAACCCTAGCTTACATGGCCCGATAGTCTCCAACATTATACGGAGGCTTCTTTATGCCAATCAAAAGCAATCCCCTCCTAACACATCTACCAAGCAATATGTTGACATACTCAGCCTCATTTTTTTAAAAAAAAAATTGTTTTCAATAGTAAGTTGTTTCTTTCCTTTCTCCCTATCATTTCTTGCATCATCAAGGTCAGGAGGAAGACATCTACACGCCCCTTCACATAAGGCTTCCAATCCCAATTGATCATCTCCTAGTACTTCGAGAGAAGAGGAAACCACTTCAATCTCCCATTCATCATCATCTTCCTCATCCCCAAGCATATTAACCTCGGCCTTACAACTCCCCCATGCTTGCGTCCCTTGATGCCTTTTTCTTTTTCAGGCACCAAATTCTCCTTCCTAATATTTGCATGAACTTTCTTACATATGGGATGTGGCAACATCCACCCAAATACTGGCAAGGTGTTTTTTTAATCTATTTTGAATGTTGCTCATGATAATTGCAGGAAAAGCGAAACGAAGTGCGCTAGAGCACACTCCTGCTTTCGAGCCAGTGAAGACATGTAAGCTTTCGAGCTGTAGTTTGCTAGCTTTGCAACTTCCAATTGTTTAGGGGGCATTTTTTTTGCAGCGCGAGCAAAGCGATTGTTGAAGAGTGCTCTGACAAAACAAAGCCCTCTTCAACACTTAGACATTGCTACCACAGGCTTGCCTACACTGCCTTCACGGAGGTGGGAACAGTTGCTTAGTTTAAATCTTTTTTGTCTGGCCAATATAACCATTTCGATATGGATCCTGCCTCCAACTAGAACCCTAAGAGGTCATCTGGAAAGATCTCCAACATAGACAGATTTAACCAAAGATGATTCAATTTGTTGACCAATCTTTGTCCTTGATGTTTGGATGAATATAGAGCTTTCAATCACCCAATTTTTTTCTTATAACTTCTTCTAATTCTATAGTGAATGCTGTTTAAAATTTTGATTTGAGATTATTTCTAAAATTTCTGGGAATTTTCATTCTAAAAGAAATTCAAAATAACTTTTGATTTTTAGTTATTTTTCTTACATAAAAATAGTTTAGGAGCAATTTGAAAAAAGGAGGTGGGGGGGGGAGTGGTTAAAAGATGGGGGGATGACCATTTCACCATGGCCTGAGTGCGAGGTAGGCACCTTGGCTGATGTGTCAGGTACGCCACCTAGGTTGCACACCTCACCCTAGGTGAGGCCTTTAGGCCCCCATCCTGCCTCAAGGCCCTGGATAGGCACCCTAGGCCGGCATTTTTTAAAACACCAGTATGACATGACATGGATATACTAGATATCACATCCAATACCATGAAACTTAAACATGGCATTTATGATTTAGTTCAATTGAAGCTAGCAAGTAGATCAAATGCTTTAATGTTGCCAAGCACTCATTTTTAAACATACCGAAGAATGACAAAAACTAGCTATTTTTTAAGAATATTAGGAAGTACCATATAAATAACCATAAAAAATTATTTATACAAATTTAACAAGTAGATAGATATTATACATACAACATAGACACACATGTATCTCTACTACAGTATGCGCTTACTCTCTACAATAAGACGAGTAAGATGGATTCATATGTACTCTAGCATAGTTGTGTCATGGACACTATTTTATCATACACATTTTGTTGTTGCTATGGCCTAAATCAATATAAACAATATCATGTAAGCCATATATTGGAGTTTCATATTTTCATGGAATGTTGTTGCAAAGCTCCATACAAAAATTAGAAACACTATCGCACAATTAAACAATATGCAGAAACAAATACAATTATAACATAATCATGAAATTTACCTGCTACATAATTCAAAAATTTCTTGTTCTGTTCCTGAACATAGTGCTCCAGTTCAGAAAACTTCCTTGCCTAATCAAGGCCATAAAAGAAATTCAAAAAAGTCAATGTAAGGTCAAAGACTAATTTAAATCACACACACACAGTGCATTCTATGCATTAAGAACCTTCAACTTCGTGTACTTCTCATGAAGCTTGGAGTACATGACATCCATCTGCACCATAAATACGGAAAAGGAGTTTTTACTTGATAAGAATGGCCTAAAACACAATTAAAGAAATTTATGACAATAAATGATACTCCTAATATGCAAGTCTAATACCCTTTGATATAAATCAGCATTAACTGAACTCATACTAACAACTACAGTAGATTCTAATATTTAATAGCCTTAAAACTTTATCAAAAGTAGTAGGAACCAATTTCGTTCCTCTAACTTCTTATTTTGAATAATGCATACAAAGTACAATAATGCAATTGAGAAATAAATTATTACAATGTCTTCTGTAATTTATCATTTTCTGTTTTTGCACTTCTCTTGAATCATATAGCACAAGAAATGCAGCTATTAAGGGAAACAACACAAGGAAAAATGTCATGTATTTGAGGTTGGAAGGAATGAAACATAGTGTCAATCATGTAAATCACATTAGAAGGGAAAAAGTCCCACAATGGAGTGTTTCCAATCAAGAAACATTAAAAAAAAACATAATGGCTTGTAAGAAGTCCAAGAAAGTACCATGTAATGTTCTTTTGGGTATTTGATTGTATAAGTTGCTCAATTTTAATAAGAAAAACAAAATTTATCATATTCTTCATTTGACCATTTGGGCTAAGTATTGTGGAACATATTTTCAGGATACTAATCATTAGAGGTCTTAATTTATAAGCTCTAAGAAGAAAAACTTAACAAAAAAATCACGTCCACCAAGAATATAAATCCTTAAAGTGTCTACTTACTGTATTTGGCTCTGAGAAGGATCACAATTCTCAAACAATACTAGCATTGAGAGAGGCATGCTTTGTCATAGCATCTCCCATGTGTCACTACATTTGTGGGTAGATAAGCTTCCTCTCGGACTTGATTGGTTCAGGTGTTGACATTTGCAATACTGCTTCCCAAGTTCGAATCCTACCACCAAACTCCCCCCCCAAAAAGAAAAAAGAATGCATCACTTCAAAAGTTCTGGCAGAATTTAATAGCTCTGAGGAAAGTGTGCAACGTGCAGCAGGAAACAGCAAAACTAGTGCTATAAAAACTGTGACTTGGCTCAGACTCACCTGAGCCATTTGGATCCTATAGGGTGGTCGGTCAGTCAGAAAATGGCAGGACTCACGACTCTCACTGGGTAAGGGACCCCACTTTGTTATTTACTCAGTGATCGAGACTCAACCAAGTTGGAAAGCTGACCCAGGCTCAAGACCAAGGTGCATCCGAGCCCGAGCCCGAGCCCGAGTTTTAAATCACTGGGAAAACTTGTTGCTAACAATGACTCTCACAGTGGGACCTAAAACTGTTTAGAAACACTGAAGATCAACATCATCATCATCAGCTCCTTTTCCCAAACTATTTAAAGAGAGTCATAGTTACTCCCGCCATTTACCCGCATTTAGAAACACTAAATCTAATTGACACAAAGAACCACACCCCATATGCTACAATAACTATAATCGAAATAGTATACCATACAAAGGGCTTGACCTCTACATACATACATACAAAAAGCGATAATATCACTAAAAGCCGCCGCTAGCTTTGAACTGCTTGCCACTAAGACCATATGGCAAGGAATTAAGAAAACCAAATAGTTTTAAGCTTATTCGTCAAAGAATCCCAAAAAGAAATAGTTGGGTCTATTACACTATGTACATAAACCACTTATCTATTGTCACATTAACCCACAAAAAGTGTTATAACATGAACACTGGGGAGGAATCAAGCATGAAGAACAAACAGAAACCGGTCAAATTGGAGGCCAAAGACAGTACAGTATTCTCAACAACCACAAGGAATTACTCAAACACTTGCAATACATGTAGAACTGGAAATGCCATGTCTCTCCTCAACACAAACCACCATGAAATTTCCCACCATGTTTACATAAAAATTCAACACAACCAAAGAAACAAGTTAACTATAATACGACTAACATGACTTACAATTGACAGTGTCATAACAGCACGCGAAATGGAGATGGAGATTAAATCATTTATGCGTAGTCAATAAAGCATTTTGCTACAAAATGAAAAGAATTGCTAAGGTCCAAGTCTAATTATCAGACATCAATGAGGCACAGCCAAACACAATAATCCACCTTGAAGTAACAATTGCCACAGAAATAACAAGACTCGCCCTAATTATTAGAAGTGCTCAACTCAGATGCAAATGCATAATAAAAACTCAGTGGAAAAAGCATCACCATCATAATGGGTAATTTTCAATTTACTAAAAAAGAAAGGAAAAATTCTCTAACTGAAACAGACATTCGAGCTGAGCCACTCCAAAGTAGTATGATGCTAGAAGGAGGAGCTCAAATTAAGTGAACATGATCAAAATCCAATACCAAAAAGAGGGACAAAGCAAAAGAACACATTAAATAACCTAGATAAGGTGAGCACCTGAATGAAACAAGTCAATAATCAGAAGTTCAGAACTGAAACAACCTAGCCTACAAATAGGAAACAATCATGGCTAGAACAAAGCCACGAAATGCAAGAGAAGGGTTTAAACCTGATCTTGAACAACAAGGTTGAGATCCAGGGTTCCTGCAATCCTGAGAAACAAGACGCAAGAGAATGAGAGGTTCCAGCCCTTGAGGGCACTGCAGGATCACAGAGTGTGTGTGCCGCGGTTGCCTGCGATTTCAAAAATGAGAGAGACAAAAAAATTTGGGGGAATTATTACGCCACTGAAGGGTAAAAGGGTAAATTTTCAAATATATAAAGGTATTTTAGTCTAAAATATTTTAAAGTATGTTATTGGATCTCCCCCCGCCGGTCATTTCAAAAGCGAAGAGCTTCCCGCGGCCGCACACGCCGGAAAACCACCGGCAGACAACCCCAATTTGCCTGAATAGGTGAAAAATGACCGGAAATCCTGTCTCTTGGGAATGGGACCTCCGCTACTGGTCTAGATTTCCATTCTTATTGGCGCATTTGAAAACTGTAACTACTATTTTAGGTTTCCATTCCCATTGACGCATTTAAAAACCGCTAATTATTTTAAAAAAAACGAGTAAGTCTTGGATTTCAGAGATCTACCCAAAAAATTCCTCTCTTTTCTCTCTCTCCATTTGTTTTCTCAGCCCTCTGAACATTCTAGAATGGGTGTTAGAGAGTTATGAAAGTTGCTTGGGCGGTAGTTAGAGAGAGTTATAAAAGTTGCTCTTTCATTTTCAAAAGGTGTGGTTTCTATAAGGTTGCAACCTTAAACAATGCAATTAAGGAGCACCTCTAAATTTTATCATCATATATAATTTTGGTGTAAAAAATTCTTAAGATTATCTCAAAATCTATTGTCATATCTATTTATAAAATTTTAAACTCTAAAAATGTTTAAAATCAAACATATGAAAATCTTGAAAATGGACGATCTTGATATTGTGTTGCAAGATGCACTATTTTTAGGACCCAAAATCTTTTTTTTTTTTTTCATATTCATACATCTTGTTGTCAAGATGATCAATTAGAGAGTTTTTCAATATTAAAACATTATTTTCCGATGGATTTTTTAGGTGCATTTGTACTCCTACACTTTAAAGTTGCAACTTTATATGAATTTTTTCCTTTTTCAAATGCATAAAGGATATAGTTAGAATTTTCTTTTATTGAGGTCAATCTATGGGGTTGAAGAGGTTAAGTCCCCAAAATTTGGGTTCCTAAAGTTAAATTTAAATAGGGTTTTACCCAAGGGAGTAAATAGACATTCTGCTTCTACTGAGTATAATATCTTTTAGTTTTTTTTATTTTAAATTTTGGATCCAACTAATTATAAGATTGTTTTCAAAGAAGAAAATTTGGTTTTTTAGTTCTTGAACATCTAAATCTTTCCCTGAAAAACTTTTTTTTAGGCACGTAGAAGGTGTAGGATAGACTTTTTTTTCTTTGAGGTTAGTCATTGGATTGTAGAGTACACCCCCAAAATTTGGATCTACAAAATATTCCTAGGATGAGTTTTGTCAAAGGGAGTGGATGGACAATATACTCCCCCGAGAGTAGGGCATCTTTTAGCTTCAAAAATAGAGCACGTGTACTATGCTTCCTTGGGAACATAGTTTACTTTTACTCCCTTGGTCCAAAGCCCTATTTGGGAGGATTTTTTCAATATTGGGAACCACTTAAGAACTACTAGGTGATTATTCTCCAAAAAAAAAAAAACATTGAAATTTAAGTTTTTCAATTCTTAGATCTCACAATCTCAATCTTGAGACATTATTATTTTCAAATTCATGGAGGGTACAATTAGGATTTTTAATTTTTGATTACAAAACTCCTCACATACATTATGGATAACACAACCGAGCAATGGTTTAAAAAGCAGATCGGTGACTCGGATCGGGCATCTAAAAAATCGATCCGGATAGGCGAATCGGAGATCCGGATCGAGAATCGGCTGAATCGGTCGGATTAAAGCTTCAAAAATATCCGAAAAAATTATTAAAATTCATTATAAATATTAATTTTTAGGAATCCAATAAGAAATGAGAAGACTACATTATTAACTTTCATTTTTTTCATCAATTTGTGAATATTGAGGTGCTTTTTTCCCTGTATAAACTTATGTTAACCATTAAATTTGCATCACATAAAAGAAAAATCATAGATAAAATATATTATTATACATGGACTATTATAAAGAGTAGACTACTCAATGAAAGAATGGCCATTTAAAATCTCGTTTTGATAAAAAACCCTAATCCACTAAAAAAATCTAAATTATTACAGTCTAACTAACTATAATCCAAAATTATTAAAACCTAACTAATTATAATATTATATAATGAAATTATAATTATTAGTTTATATTTGATAATTATTTTATTAGATAAATAATAACAAATTAAAAATATTTTATAATATTATCTAATTTAAAATGTATTATTGACAACTGTAAGAAAAATAGTACATTATATGATTTATAATGTAAAAATTAATAAATAAAATAAAAGATTTAGTTATCAATATAAAAATTAATAAAATACGTACAAATTTTGGAAATAAACATCACATGAAGAAGCAAAGATCTTAACCACCACACCACCTCATCACATGTGATTGTAACTTGCTAATTAATAGAATATATTTACATTCCCATTTCATTTAATGATGTTTGGGAATTATCCACATCGAAAGATGGGTATTCAACTTTGGTATATAAATACTTATGTAATATGAATCAAGTATTTGTATACAAATATTGGGGCAACCTCACACGTGCCCGGGAGGGAACCAGGTAGAATCGGGTGGTAACCGGCGTTTTTTCTCAAGAACCGGGCAGTTCCCGGTTTTGTACTGGAACTTGCACGGGCTGCGCCGGTTCCCGAGTCGAACCAGGCGCCGATTTTTAAAACACTGCAACAGAGTATTGAGCTGCTCCTCCTCGAGGTAATTGTCGTCTGCTTCATAGATGGTCATAATTCTCTTTTGATAATAACAATAATATTGTCAAAAGAGAGTTGAAGATCATATTCAAAGCAACTCCCTCAATTGAAATTAAGTCTTAGAGAAGGTTTTTTACTTTAGTTAGGAAAAGTTTTAGCCTCTATAATAAAATCTTCACTCTAAAAATTGGATTTGGGGCATGATAAATTTTAATTAGAATTTGGATGTTTATCATTATCCAATTCCACATTCTCAAGAGATATGTTTCAATTACAGATGTAAATGGATAAGTTTCTCGCAATTTGAAGCTTATCCAAACTGAATCCAATATTCTTAGTTTTTGGAAAGGCCACGAGGAAAATTTTTTTTTTTTTGATGCAATCATGCATAAGATATGTGAAAATACTAGAGAATATAACAAGATAGGAAATTACCACGAGGAAACAAATATTGTTTTTTTTTTGAGGCAATCATGCATAAGATATGCATGAAAATACTAGAGAATAAAACAAGATAGGAAATTATATGCTGCGTGAAAAATATGTAGGAATGTGTTAACAATGTAAATTGTATATGAGTTGCATTCTTTTACTATTGTAACACTATTATATATACAATAAGGGCGTATTTGATAACAGGAAGTCGCTTCCAATAACTTGTAAGTTACCTATTACGGTAGATGTTCCGTGTTTGATAAAAGTGAGTAGGTTAAAATAGTAACTTACCCATTACTGTAGAACTTTTTCCATTTATGTTTAAAAACAATTCCAGTCATTTACGCTTAAAAAAAGTTCTGTCGATTTAGACGGAACTTAAATTGGGAACTTCAAATGAGAAGTTCCTGCGTGAAGATCCTTCGTTGAACAAGCGTGAAGACACAAACTTAATAGCTGAAACGAGGGTTTTTACTTTTTACATTGGCTCTCTCTTTCCGTTCAGGACTCTGTTGCTCCACCCTCCACCTTCAAGATCAAGTTTCAAGGTCTCTCTCTTCCAAAAATTTTCGGTATGATGTCTCTCTGTATCTCACCTTATGGCCCCAAGCATGATGTCTTCTTACTCTTCTCAAAGTCTTTTAGCTATGCCCAAAATTTGGGGGCTTTCATAGAACAACAACCCTATAACACCGAATAAGGGCAAGCATATGTACTGATATTTTTATGAATCATTCTATTTGATTGTCGCTTATCTATTAATTCAGTGTGTTATTTCCATGGTGCTATGATTTTTTTTTGGATATTTTTCCTTTGTGATGCTTCATGAATTTTTTGTTTTGACTATCTATTTGAAATTTGAAAGGATGAAATTGATTAGATCTCAAGAATAAAATTGATTAGATTAAAATTAGGATTTAATAATTTCTCCATGCTCTTTTTTTGGTTGAATTAAAATGCTTTTTCTTTTGTTGGATTTTTAGCAATGTACATTTGGACTAGATATGGAGTTATGGACCTCATGAACTTTATTATTTATATCTTTCTTTTTTTGTGTTTATATGTTATGTATGTGCATGAATTTTTTTGTGATCTCTATGGTTATAGATTCGTTGACATATGTTTTTTACCACTACATATGTAGTTTCTTATTTGGATTAAACCAAAAAATAATGGATATACACGTATTTATTATCATTTAATATTTATTAAAATGATGAATACCGAAGCTATAACTTGCCCTTTGTGAGTAAGGTTTATCATTGGTAATAGTATTAGCATATAAGTAGTAACACTCTTTTTATTTTTTACTTTTTATTTTTCTTTAATTTTTATTTTTTTATATATTTTTAACTTACAAAAAATATATTTCTATTTTTAATTTTTTAAAATAAAAAAAACCCGAAGTCTTCCCGTGAATCAACCGAATCACCGAATTATTTCATTTTTTCTGCCAAACCAAAGCAGATTCCGAAGTGAATCTGACAA